TTAAAAATTGATGTGAAGGCCGCACCCTTAACTTAATCTTTGCCCTGAAGCATTTTAATGCATTGATAGATCTTACATATACATATATATTTCATTTTATTTATTCATTCTTGACTAGAGAGCGAGAGAGAGAAAGTGAGAGAGCACACCACCAGGTCCGGGACCGAACTGTGGTCAGCCATGTGGGAGTGTCCAGCACCTTAACCACCATGCCACCCCTGGTCCCTGCATTGATAGATCTTACTATGCTCAGTACTTTTTTTTTTTTTTTTTTAAGAATTATTTTATTGGGGCCGGCAGGTGGTGGTGTGGTTAAGGGCGCTAGACTCTCACATGGCAGACCACAATTTAAGTCCCGGACCTGGACCTGGTGGCTGGCTTTCTCACTTTCCCTCTCTCTCTCTCACTCTGGATGCAAATCCAAGTCCCTTCCATGTGGGTCAAGTTGCACTATCACTGAGCCCCAGGATCTCACTAATTCACTTTTTTTTTTTCTCTCCTTACAGACCAGCCAGCTCTTTCCTGAGTTCATCTCTCTTGAATATTTTTACAAACGCAGCTAAGCGTATCCACATAAATAGTCTGCTTTGCAAGTTAGAATGCATAAAAGTTTTACCAAATGTTTCATTGCCCCCTCATCACTTCCCACTATAATCTGACCTCCTCTCTCATTGCACCCTAAATCCCCTTAGCCAGGGTCCCCACTGATCTCTTGTTGCCAAATCTAAGTCCTGTGGTTTTGCTGTGTGTTTCTAGTATGTTTGGCAATGTTGAGCAGGCCGTCCTTGAATATGTTTCTTTGGTTTCTGTGGCTGACACAATGCACCCCCCCAACCCCTCCCCCCCAAGTGTCACCCATTACCATCAACCATTCCTCTGGATGCTTTTCTGGATTTTCCACTTCCCATGATCTCTTCAAATGTGGTGTGGTAGTTTTTTTGTTTTTTTGTTTTTTTTTTAGTTTTGGTATAGGGCACATGTGCTCTCCGGAGAGAGATCGGCCATGGGGGGAGAGAGTGAGAAATCATCCCCCAGGGTGGATGGTCATGCCACATCCCTTATCCTCTAGAATCCTCCCAGGATTTTGGACACACACACACACACACACACACAGGCACCTGGCATATTTTCACGCTGTCAGGTCTGGACTAGAACTATGCAGTTGGCCATGTAGGATCCAGCACCTTAACTTCCATGCCACTTGCTAGCCCATGGTGTGGCAATTTTAAAACTTGTCCATAAATTCTTTAATAATCTTTCCATTGGGGGACCAGCAGTTGGCATAATGGCTATGTTGCTGGAACTCCCATGTAGTTGTCTGCAGTTCAAGTTGCGGACCCAGTGGCTTAAACTCACACTGGGTGCGTATTCGTGTGTGCCCAAGATCCTGAGAGGAGAATGGAGAAAGGATTGCCAAGAAATGTTCGGAGAGATGGAAGACCATGTCTGCAAAGGAAAAGTCAAAGTTTGAAGATATGGTAAAAAGTGACAAAGCTCGTTATGACAGGGAGATGAAAAATTACATCCTTCCCAAAGGTGATAAGAAGGGAAAGAAAAAGGATCCCAATGCTCCGAAAAGAAGGCCTCCATCTGCCTTCTTCCTGTTTTGCTCTGAACATCGCCCAAAGATCAAAAGTGAACACCCAGGCCTGTCCATTGGGGATACTGAAAAAAAAAAAAAAAAAGGTGGAATGTGGTTTGAACAGTCAGCCAAAGATAAACAGCCATATGAACAGAAAGTGGCTAAACTAACGGAGAAATATGAGAAGGATATTGCTGCATACCGTGCCAAGGGGAACAGTGAAGCAGGAAAGAAGGGCCCTCGCAGGCCAACAAGCTCAAAGAAGAAGAATGAACCAGAAGATGAGGAAGAGGAGGAGGAGGAAGAAAGAGATAATGAGGAAGAAGACGAAGATGAAGAAATGGCTCTCCTGTAATGATGTGTGTGGAATGTGTGTGCATGCTCAGACAATTTTTTTGCTAAGAATGTGAACTCAAGTGCAGCTCAATATTAACTTCAGTATAAAAACTGTACAGATTTTGTATAGCTGATAGGATTCTTTGTAGAGAAAATACTTTTTTAAGAATGCAGGTTGTAGCTTTTTGAGGGGCTACTACATACAGTTAGATTTTATAGCTTCTGATGTTGAATGTTCCTTAATATTTAATGGTTTAATTTCTTGACTTGTATATGGTAGCACAGCACACTCATAGGAATTGGTATCAATAGTAAATTTTGTGGTTTTTTTTTTTAGGATGTTGCATTTTGTGCTTTTTTTCCCCTCAATTTTGTAATAAAATTATGTACATTATTTCTAAAAACCAAAACAAACAAAAACAAAACAAAACAAAACACCACAGGTCATTTCCAATCTTTTGCTGTTACTGAAAGTTCATTTCCTACTGGACATCTCCTGAATCCACTCATTTCTCTGAAGTCCCACTGAGCCAAGACAGTCATCTTTGATCTAGTGCCTCCTGGGGCTTCTGCTGCCACTCTTTGGCCCTCCATCCTGTTCTGACAGCAGCCAGAGGAATCTTTTTAGAGCACAAATTAGATCACATCCCTCTCCTCTTTACAACCTTTCTGTGGCTCCCCACTACTCTTGGTTGACATCCAAACTTTTTAAAAAATAATAATTTATTTATTTAATTCCATTTGTTACATTAGTTTTTAAATAGTTATTTATTTAATTTTATTTATCCATTCATTTATTTTAATTTGACAGAGAGATGCACAGAGAGAAGAGAGGGAAAGTGAGAAAGCAAGCCACCAGGTCTGGTATTCGAACTGTGGTTGGCCATGTGGGAGTGTCCAGCGCCTTAACCACCATGCCACCTGCTGGTCCCCTGTTATATTATTTTTTAATTTGGCCAGAGAGCGAGAGAAAGGGAAAGGGCAAGCAAGCTGCCAGGTCCAGGACTCAAACTGCCATCAGCCATGTGGGAATCTAGTGCCTTTAATCACAATGCCACCTGCCAGCCCTGACATCCAAACATTTTTTTAAATGTTTATTTATTTAATTCTAATCGTCGTTATTATTTTTTAATTTGTTCAGAGAGAGGCAGAGAGAGAGAAAGGGAAAGTGAGAAGAGAAGCCACCAGGTTCAGGACTCGTACTGTGGTTGGCTATGTGGGAGTCCAGTGCCCTTAACCACCATGCCACCTGCTGGCCCCCAACCCAAACCCTTTATCTTGGCTTACAAGGCCCTGCAAGATCTCACTTCTTCTTTTTTTTTTTTTTTAATAATTATTTTATTTAACTTCATTGATTTATTTAATTTGATCAGAGAGGGAGAGAGAGAAAGTGAGAAAGCAAGGCTCCAGGGCCAGTACTCAAACCATTGTCGGCCATGTGGGAGTCCAGCGCCCTTAACTACCATGCCATCTGTTGGCCCCACAAGATCTCACTTCTTCCTCTCCAGATTCATCTCCTGTAACCACTTGAGGCCTTTAGTTTTGGGCTGCAGGAGTTCCTCACACTTCACCTGTGTGTGCTCACACACACACACATATACACACATGCATGCACACACATACATGCATGCACACACTCACAGTTAAATGAGTAAGTAGCACATATTAAGCATATAATAAATGTCTTGGGACCAGCAGTTGGCGTAATGGCTATGTCGCTGGACTCCCATGTAGTCAACCGTGGTTTGAGTCCCGGACCTGGTGGCTTAACTGCATGCCAGGTGCATGTGTGAGTGTGTGCGCGCTCAAGATCCTGAGAGAATGAAGGAGAAGGGAGCATGGTGTGGCCAACCCCCTGGGGGGGTTATTTCTCTCTTTCTGTCTCTCTTTCTGTCTTTCTGGGGAGTGTACGCGCCCTATAGCAAAAACCTCTCAAAGGGAAAAAAAAAAACTAAAGTAAAGTATATAATAAATGTTTTATGTCTGCTACTATTATTAGTCTGTGTTCAGTAAACATTTATTGAGCTCCCTACTCAGTACCAAGCTCTATGGGAAGCTTGGGGAGTATCACAGTGAACAAGAAAGACCCACCTTGGGGACAAGCAGTTAGCATAATGACTATGTCGCTGGACTCCCACGTAGTCAACTGCGGTTCAAGTCCTGGACCCCGTGGCTTAAAACTCACGCCGGGCGCGTGTGCATGCGTGCCCAAGATCCGGAGAGGAGAATGGAGGAAAAGGGATTGCAGTGTGGCCATCCCCCCTGGGGGGTGATTTCTCGTTTTCTATCTCTCTGTCTCTCTCTGTCTGTCTGGCAAGTGCACAGTGCCCTATAGTAAAAACCTCTCCAAAAAAAAAGACCCACCTTGCTGAGCTCATTAATCCTGTGTCCCCAGCCACCATCACAAGAGACGGATGAACACTGCAAGGCATGAAGGCATGTTTATGCAATGCTACCTAACGGAATTCAGAGTTACAGCGACTTCCCCAAGACCATACAGCAAGTATGGGACAAAACCAGGGCTGGGAGAGCACATGGCAAGGTTGGAACAGGTGCAGCTGCCCGCAAAGGCTGACTCTCCAGGGAGATGGGCAGTCGGCGCACACTACTCAGGACAGAGCTGAAGGCAGGTTGGGAGACAGAAAGGGGGTGGGGGGAGCTGTCTCCAAAGGCACAAGGGTGCCATTCCTCTCCCAACACCTCGTCCCCCTCCCCAACTCCTCTCTCAAGTTGAGGGGGATTGATCTTTAGCAAGGGGTAGGGACTCAAAGAAGAAAAGAGGATAGAGAGGATGGGGACTCCCAGAGAAAGGACTTCAGTTTGTCGCCCAGCCCATGGAAGGGGACTTCCTGGCAGGGGCTCAGTGAGAGTTGGAGCAGTGGCAGCTTCCATGCGCAGTAGAGGGATCACAGGACGCTTGGGGCCCACGGAGGTGATGGGGTTTGGGTGGGGGGGAGTCTGGAGTCTCAGAGAGAGGGAACTCTGGAAAAGGAAGGGGGAGCTACAGGGGACCTCAATCAGCAAGGCCGGCCCTTGGGGCGGGCCAGCGGCCCCCTCATCTGCCCGCCCCATATCACCCCCGCCCCGGACTGCGGCGCAGGCGTGAACTGAACCTGCTTTTGCTCGGCTCCCGCTCCGGCTCCCGCTCGCTCTGCCGAGGCAGCAGACAGAAAGGTGAGCTCAGCCCCTGTCCACACGCGGCCCGACCTCCGCGCCCCCTCTGGGGTTCCGGAGAATCCGTATTCTCTGTCTGCATGCCCAGCACCCTAGCCTCGTCCCGCCTGGGTTGGAAGGCTGGCCCGAGCGTCGGGCTTTGGGAAGTAGGGGTCCCAGGAAGTAGCGGGGGCAGAGACAGAACCAGCCCGTCGCCCCTCGGCAGAGTGAGTTGCTAGGCTGGGCGGAGGCGTCAAAGGCCAAGATCCCCCCACCCCCCGCCCCCCACTGAAAACCCATGCCTACTCCCCTCTGCCTCAGTTTCCCTCTAGGGGAAAGGCCAAAATCTTCTCCCAGGGGATCGGTGATCTACTCAGAAAATGGGGGGAGGGGAAAAATGGCCTTATTACCCTGGCCAACTGCCCCCGCCCAGGGGGGAGCCTCTTCCCACCCGGGCAGCGCCGGATGCTGGGGTGGGCGGGTCGCGGGTCTGGGACCGGGAACTGATGCGGCGGTGCAGAGGCACCGATGTGCAGGCCCTCGAGCCCGTCCCCCCCCCTTTTTTCCAGCTCTGCGGTCTTCCCCCCTCGGGAAACGCAGTCCCTCCTCTTCCAGCCCCCTTCCCACCAAGCTCTCCCCTCTGCCGCCTAGGGACACCTCCCAGCGGTTCCCATGGCAACCCTCGTTCCAGGTACCTCAGCATCCTCTCTCTACTTCCCTCCCCTCCCCTGGCACGCTAGACCTCCCCCTGCAACCCTAAAACGGGATGGGGAGGGGCCGGGCGGGGAGGGAGGCGCCGTCAAGGTCACCTTCCTTCCCCGGTTCCAGCCAGACTGAGCGAGTGTATACCCTCGGGGAAAGGGCCAGAGAAGGGGGCAGGAGCCGGCCCAGCCGACACTGCCCTGGCTTCCCTTCCCTCCCCTTCACCTGGGGAAACGGTCCCTGCACTGAGGCCCCCACTGCCCCTCGGCCTCGCTTTCTTCCCCCCACCCCGGCCCCGGCGGGTGCCACCCACGCCCCTGCAGGCCCCGACCCTGCCCCCCGGGAGCTCCTGCCCTGCAGACCTTTCCTACTTCCGCGTCGCTCTTTCACCTTCCGTGTGTGTCTGCCTTTTCCCGGTCTCTTGTATTTTGGCTTTTCCCCTTTTATCTTCTCCCCACCCCCCACCCCCGGAATTGAAAGTGAGAGGACTGGACAGAGGCGACTTATTCACAGTAATCTGTGCACTTGGGAGGCGCCGTGGGGTCGCCAAGAGGCACCACCAACGTGTGTTTGTGTGTGTGTGTGTGTGTGTGTGTGTGTGGCTTACCTGGGTGCGTCTGTGTGGTCCTTGTTTGTGTGACGTGTGTGTGTGTTACCTGAGTGCGTCTGTGTGGTGCTTGTTTATGTGACGTGTGTGTGTGTGTGTGTCTTACCTGGGTGCGTCTGTGTGGTCCTTATTTGTGTGACGTGTATGTGTGTCTTACCTGGGTGCGTCTGTGTGGTCCTTGTTTGTGTGACACGTGTGTGTGTGCATGCGCGCATGCGTGTGCACTTGCCTGGGTGTGTCTGTGTGGTCTTTGTGTGGCTGCTATGTGTGTGTGTCTGTGTGTGCATGCTTACATGGGTGCATCTGTGTGGCCCTTGTTTGTGTGGCTCTTGGGTGTGTACTCTGTGTGTGTGTCCTGGCAGTCTCTCCCTGCAGAGACTCGAGGGCACATCTGACTGGAGGTGAGAGGACTCAGCACATGCTGTTACTTTCTGTGAAGCTGCTTAAAGGGCCACCGTGTGGTGGTGGAAGAAGCCCAGTCCTTGCTCAGCAAGTCCTGGCTTGGATTTTAGAAAAATAGCGTTCTCCCGTTTTGAGAGAATGAGAGACGGAGAGAGGTGTTTTCACAGGGTCTGTCCACTTCGCAGTCGTCCTGCCTGCCCTCCCCGCTGGCCAGGAGCCCAGGGTGCACACCTCCAGCCTGGCCTGTGGGGCTGGGCTGGGAACTAAACCCCGCCTCCCGTGGGTTTCAGCCTTGGGGCTTCAGGGGTGCTTCCTGCTGTACCACGGTGGCTGGGCAGAGAGGAGGGTTCTTAAATAGGTCTTCCTCTGGAGAGTTCCTAATTGTGAGGGCTGCTGATTTTCACCTCCCATGGAGTCGAAATGCTTAGGAACCTGGAGGCTGTCAAGAGGCAGCTCTGGGTAGGGACCTCTTAGGTCCTTGGAACTTGGGAACTCCAGCCTGACAATTACTCTACAGGCACTGAGATGTTCATCTGGAGGGAAACAAGTGTCTCTCACTCCAGACTCCAGACAATGGAGCCCCCGTGAAATAATCACGAAGAAATATAGTCCCCTGCCCCAGAGGCATGGCAGGTGTGGCCGCTGTGCTACTGTCCAGTCGGTAGCAGGCAGAGAGCAGAGGCTTTGCTTACACATGGTCTTCTGACCCATGGACGTCGACATGATTAGTAGCCTGGCACTCAAAAGAAGAAAAAAAAGAAAGAAAGAAAGGAAATTATAGTCACAACCACAACAGCTACCATTCCTTAGCACCAGACGCAATAACTATATGAGACAAGTATGCTTATTAGCTGTGTTTCACAGATGAGAGTACTGAGGTCCAGAAAGGTGGAAGCACTGGGACCAGCAGATGGCGTAATGGTTACATGGCTGGGCTCCCATGTAGTCGACCGCAGTTTAAGTCCCAGACCTGGGGCTTAAAAATTACGCCAGATGCATGTGTGCCTACCCAAGGTCCCGAGAGGAGAATGGAGAAGGGATTGCAGCATAGCCATCCCCCCTGGGGGGTGATTTCTCGCTTTCTGTCTCTCTGTCTCTCTCTCTGTCTCTCTGGCAAGTGCACATGCCCTATAACAAAAATCTCTCTTAAAAAAAAATAGGGGCCAGTAGGTGGCGTGGTGGTTAAAGGTGCTAGATTCCCACGTGGCTGACCATGTGAAATCTAAACCTGGTAGCTTGCTTTCTCGCTTTCCCTTTCTCTGTCTGTCTCTCTCTGGTCAAGGTGAAAAATGAAAAGAACAAGTAGAATTAATTACATAAATAAATACGTCTTTAAAAAATAAAAATAAAAGGTGAAAGCACTTGTCTAAGGTCACACAGCCAAGAAGTGGTGGGTCTGGGATTCCAATTCAGTCAGGCTCCAGAGCCCGCAGTTCTAGCCACTGGTAGCTCCAGAATCAGCGTGCACATTTAATGATGCCTCCAGTCAACAGGCGCTGGGCTAAGCCCTTCAGGGCACTGGCTCGTTCGCAGTGTACTCGGGAAAGACAGGCTGGGATTCCGGAAGGCCAGCTGTCTGTGACTGTGTGGTGTCTAAAGTGGGAGAAGAGGGTGCAGCACAAAGATGCAGGGCGCTGGGCGGGTCACCACGGGCAGCTACCACTGACCCCCTGGCAGCTGCCCCTCGCCTGTCCACAGGAACTCATGATGCCAAACTGCGATCGTTCCTGTGGCTGCAGTCGTGGCCCCAACGTGGAAGATGGCAAGTGGTATGGGGTCCGCTCCTATCTGCACCTCTTCTATGAGGACTGTGCGGGGACTGCTCTCAGCGATGACCCTGAGGGACCCCCAGTCCTTTGTCCTCGACGACCCTGCCCCTCACTGTGCTGGAAGGTAAGGCCAAAACAACAAGCCCTGTGATTCTTGTGGCTTCATGGAGGAGGTGGGATGAAATTTGAGGCTCAGAGGAAAGAGAAGGCTTAGTGTAGTAGTTAGGAGTTTTTTGTTTGTTTGTTTGTTTGTTTGTTTAAGAGGTTTTTACTATAGGGCACATGTGCTCGCCAGAAGGACAGAGAGACAGAAAACAAGAAATCACCCCCCCGGAGGGGGGGATGGCCACACCGCAATCCCTTCTCTTCTATTCTCTCAGGATCTTGGGCACGCATGTACATGTGCCAGGCGTGAGTTTAAGACACCGGGTCTGGGACTCAAACCACGGTTGACGACATAGCCATTACACTAACTGCTGGTCCCCAGTAGTTAGGAATCTTGCACATTCAATCACAGAAAACCCATTTGAATGGGTTTAAACAATAAAGGGGAAATATTGCTCATTTTCTAGCAGGGAGCAGAGGTAAAATTTGACTCAGCCGTTCAGACCATCACACTGAGGAGGTGGCATGCTTTCTTTGAGTCTTTAGGCTCCCCAAGGGTGCTCCCATCCTCGTAGCCTAGTAGCTTCAAGCTCTCTCCCCATGTTCCCCAAATTGCCACTACCCTCAGACCTTCACTCCTCGTGACCCGTGGGAAGTCAGTTTCCTCCAGTATTTCTTTTGGAGAAGAAACAATGGAGAATAGGCAAAAATTATGGTGTAACGGCTATGTCACTGGACTCCCATGTAGTCAACCATGGTTTGAGTCCCAGACCTGGCTGCTTAAAACTCACACTGGGTGCTTATGCACGTGTGTCCAAAATCCCAAGAAGAAAATGGGGGAGAAGGGATTGTAGCATGGCCTTCCCTGCTGAGGGGCGATTTCTCACTTTCTGGCTCTCTGGCTAGTGCACACACCCTATAGCAAAAATCTCTCTCTTGAAAAAAAAATATGTCTATGTATGTATATATATATGGATCCCACACAGCCGATTTCAAGGTTTGAGTACCTGACCTGCTGGCTTGAGGAACATGCCAGGCACAAGTGCATGCATGCCCAAAATTCTGAGAGGAGAATGGAGGAGAAGGGATTGCAGCCATGGCCATCCCCTCTGGGTGGTGATTTCTCACTTTCCTTCTCTGTCTGTCTGTCTCTCTCTATAGGAGTGCACGCACCCTATAGCAAAAATATATAAAAACAAAATGCAAATCACTGGGCTGGCTAGTGCCATAGTGGTTAGGGTGGCTGGATCCCACGTGAGTGGTTAGGGTGGCTGGATCCCACGTGGCCGACTGCACAGTGTGAGTCCCAGACCCAGGTGCTTGAAAAACATGCTGAGCACATGTGCATGCATGCCCACAATCCTGAGAGGAGGAATGGAGGAGAATTGATTGCCATGTGGCCATCCGCGCTGGGAGGTGATTTCTCACTTTCCCTTGCCCTCTCTCTGGTAAGTACACACTCCCTTTAGCAAATTAAACACATGCATGCATTACTATTTATATTAATACCAAAAAGAGAGAGAGAGAGAGAAAAGCATACTTAAATATAAATTTAACAAAATATGAGCCAGTACGTGGCTCCTGGTTAGAGGGTGGATCCCACATGACTGTGTGATTTGAGTCCTGGACCTGGCAGCTTGAAAAACATAGCAGGTGTGTGTGTGTGTGCATGCCCAAAAACCTGACAGGAGAGAGAAATGGAAGAGAAGGGATTGAGGTGTGACCACTCCCCAGGGGCAGTACTTTCTGACTTTCCTTCTCTCTCTCTTTCTTTCTGGTGAGTACACACACTCTCTGGAAAATCAAACAATTAAATTTTTTTTTCTCAATTTAACAAAGTATGTACAATATAAGAAAAACTACAAAACTGATGGAAAACATTAAAGAACTAAACAGGGAACTAGCAGTTGGCATAATGGCTATGTCACTGGACTCCCATGTTGTCAACCGCTGTTCGAGTCCCGGACCCGGTGTCTTAAACTTATGCCAGGTGCATGTGCGTGCATGCCCAAGATCCCAAGAGGAGAATGGAGGAGAAGGAATTGCAGCGTGGCCACCCCCCACCCAGGGAGTGATTTCTCACTTTCTGTCTCTGTCTCTCTTTGTCTTACTGGCAAGTGCACGTGCCCTATAGCAAAAACCTCTCCCAGGAAAAAAAAAAAAAAAGAACGAAACAGATGGAGAGATGTTGCCTGTTTATGGATAATAAGACCCTCTATTACCAAGGTACCAGTTATTCGTGACCTGATCTGTAGATTCCATTCCACACAATTCTATTTTTAAAAAGAATTATGTATTTAATTTAATTTAGTTATTATTATTTTAAAATTTGCTATAGGGCATGAGTGTTCACCAGAGAGAATAGAGAGTGAGAGAGAGAAAGTGAGAAAGCAAGCCACCAGGTTTGAGACTTGAACTGCGGTTGACCATGTGGGAGTCCAGCATTCTAACTACTATAGCATTTGCTGCCCCTGATACCATGCAATTCTTTTATTTTTTAATTATTTAATTTTATTAATTATTATTATTAATTTGCCGTAGGGAAATATATTCACCAGAGAGAGAAGGAAAGTAAGAAAACAAGCTGCCAGGTTCAGGACTCGAACCGCAGTCGGCCATGTGGGAGTCCAGCACCTTAACCACCATGCCATCTGCTCACCCCACTATCCAATGCTCATCAGAATCCCAGGAGTTATTTTGATATTGACAAACAGATTCTACAGTTTGTATGTAGAGGCACACATTAATTTCAGGGTACCCAGAAATTGAAAACATTTTGCCATGTACAAGAAACAATGCTTTTCACTTCCTGAAATCTTGGCAATTATCCCTGTGGGTCTGAATGGATTACTTGCCAGCCTCGAACTAATTAGTATGGCCAGGGGGGTAAAAGAAGTCA